CCGGCCATCTAAAAGGCTATAATCTTGGACTCAGACACTTCTTAGACAGATAGGGCATTTTTCTCAGCCAGTATTTTTTCAGCTTTATTGAGGTATAATTGAAAAATAATATTGTAAGATATTTAAAGTGTACATCAAGGTGATTTGATATACATATACGTTGTGAAAGGATTCCCACCATCTAGTTAATTAACATATCCATCACCTCGCATACTTTATTTTTTTGGTGAGAGCTCCCTTACTCTACTCTCTTAACAAATTTCAATTGTACAACACAGTGTTACCAACTCTTAGCAAATTTCAATTGTACAACACAGTGCTACCAACTATAGTCAACGTGTTTTACGTTAGATCCTCAGAACTTATTCATTTTATAGCTGAAAGTTTGTACCCTTTCACCAACTTCTCCCTAGTTTCCCCAACCCCAGCCCCCAGAAACCACTTTTCTACTCCGTTTCTATGAGTTTGACTTTTTTTAGATTCCACATATGAGTGATACCATGCAGTATTTACCTTTCTCTGTCTGGCTTGTTTCACTTAGTTGATGCCCTCAAGGTCCATCCATGTTGTTGCACAAGGCAGATATTCCTTCCTTTTTAAGGCTGAATAATATTCCATTGTGTGTGTGTGTTGTGTATATATATATATATATACACCCCACATCTTCTTTATACCTTTATCCATTGATAGACACTTAGGTTCTTTCCATCTCTTAGCTATTGTGAATGATCTTAGCTGGTGTTTTAATTCAGCTTAAGCTGACAGATGTAGAGGAAGGTTCCCTGCCCTTTCCACCCTTAACCGCAGTTTGAGCAGATTTTAAAATAAAGCTCTCTTTTAATTGAATCAACCTGCACTATGAAGTGGCATCACTTCTCTTATGGCTTTTATTTGGATTCCTACTACTTCCTTTAAAATATTTTTCAAAAAAATGTTTTCAATACATAGTGATGAACTCTTATTTTATCATTAAAATTATGTAATAATTTTTTTTTGAGGAAGATTAGCCCTGAGCCAATGCCAACCTTCCTCTTTTTGCTGAGCAAGACTGGCCTTGAGCTAATATCCGTGGCCTTCTTCCTCTGCTTTATATGTGGGACGCCTGCCACAGTATGGCTTGATAAACAGTGTGTAGGTCCACGCCCAGGATCCAAACTGGTGAACACCAGGTCATGGAAGCGGAGCATGCAAACTTAACTGCTACGCCACCCAGCCAACCCCTGCAATTATATAATTCTGCCTGAGATTTTTAACTTTAATTTGGAATAATATGTCATTGATTTTATCTGAAATGCTTTTGTGTATGCCATGTTTATATTTACCTTAGTTTTCTAGCACAAAAAATTGTAAACCCAATTTTGTAGTTCTGCAGTTAAAATGGATTTAGTAAGGTAATTTATTTAGAATGGTAGAAAAATATGGTATTCTGGTCAACTAAATATTTTAACAAACCGAACTACCCCATTCACTATAAGTCAGAGACTGATTCTCAAAAACTTGGTGGAATACTCTAACAAGACTTAAGATTTTATCTGTTTTGATTTCGTTGGTGTTTTGAGTTCTTAGAAAGTCATCATTATAAACATTACAAATCATCCTTAAAAATTGTATTACATGGTGTTACCAAGGTAGAAGTTGTAAAATTCTAGCCAGTATCCATGAACAGAAGGTGCACAGATGATTTTAATGGCTCAAGGGCTGGCACTGATGAAAGAGACCTTCCTGGGTCCGAGGCAAGCTGTGAATAGTTCATTCCAGGTACCTCCTTCCCACCCTCATCAATGTCTCCATTCTTCTTTTCTCTTTTCTTCCTCCCATTTCCTGCCACCATTCCATCCCCCAAATTCCCCTCCCCCACTTTATGTTACAGTTAATCACTGCTGAAGTAATCACTAAGATATTAGTTAATAAGGGATGAAGATAAGGTTACCATGATCCCAGGAATATTTGTACTCTCATGGAAGCTGCTTAAACAGTTGCCCTCCAGACTAAAAGGAGAAATGACTTGTCCTTAACTTAATACAAAAAGCACTTACTGGTCTGACCCCTGGCTTTGTAGTTCAGTCTCCCAGAACTCCTCGGCACAGACCTTTAGGCAGCTTTCATTCCATTCCATGCCTCCCCACATCCCATATATTTTTCCCTCTACCTGGTAAAAGCTCCCTTTCACCCACCCCACTCCGTACCACCATCACCTTCTTCACGTTGGTGACTTGCCCTTACAGGGAGAACATGGGTAAGTACTACATGGAAAAGCCTTCCCAGGCCTCCTGGTGTGCTTCGGATGCCCTTCCTCCGTGCGCCCCAAGCATCTCTGCATAGAACACTCACTATTTCACATGATGATCATTGGTTCTTTTCTGTTTTCCCCACAGCTAGACTACCACCTCCTTACAGCCTCATCAGTCTTCAGATTGTCAACATCTAGCAAATTGCCCAGTACTCACAGTTCATTCAGGTTGAACAAATCACAGATTGCAATAAAATGAAGGAGGTTTGGGATACCACTGTTTCATGGGGGGATGGAATATATAGAAAAATACTGGAAATACTAATGAAAAATGTTGTCAACTCTCACTGTAGAATATAGGACTTAATATGCACAGAGCCTATAGCACTATAAAGTTTCCTGGGTTTTTTGTTTTAAAAAATCCCTGATACAAGCTTATTAACTTTTCATTTGTTCCCCTCTCACTAAAGGAGAGCACAAAGCAAGCCTGTTCTTTAGGCTTCCCAATTGTCTAAGTTCCAGATAAATAGGCTTCCCGGGTTTGTGTGTGCTTTTATGCGCTTTAATCAATATATTTCCCAGTTTGAACAAGACAATAAATTAATTCCTGTCTTTTTAAAACTAGTTCCCACTTACTCAAAGATGTCACTACACAACTTGGAGGCAGACTTGAACAGTGAAAAAAAAATTTCTTCGGCCCAGAAGTTCGTATACCTGCGAGTTTTAGTCCTGGCTATGCCTCTGGCTGACTCTATGCCCTTAGGAAAATTACATAACGTTTATGGGCCTTGGTTTCCTCATCTATAAAACATAGGCGTTGGACCAGATGACTTTTAAGCACCCTGTCAGTTTAAAAATTCTATTATTACATAAATCTTTAATTCTAACATAGAGCAGGTGGACCCTGAAAAGTCCTGGAAATGACGATACTGTACTGTCACACAAAGAAGATAATCTCCACCACACACGATTCAATTTAAAATTCACGGCAAAGTCAAATTTGCACGCACAATGTCTGAGTGACCAAGAGTAATAAAACTCATCCATGGAAGGAGCGGGAAGCAGGGGGGAGGGGACCCAGGCACTCTGGGAAACAGTATGCAGCCTAAATGTATTTTCTCACACTGATGTATTTTAAATTTGTGACTATGAATATACCACAGTGAACAGCTTGAAGTTCTTTGGAACAAACATCATCTCTTCTAAGGTCACTCACACAGTTTCTGAAGGAACTGCAATAATAACATTTGGCATATGTAGATAGAGTGCTCTGCAGACTGGAGCATGGAGAATTATGCCCTGCATGTTCCAGAAAAGATGATCCATGATTCAGGTGAAAAGAAATATCAGGCACATTTTTGACAGTGGCAGCAAACCCAAACAGTATAACCATACAATCAATATGGACGCCCTCATTAAAATCCCCAAGTAGCCGTGAGTTTGATTTTCAGCGGGGTCTGGACAGGAATAATGGATTTGGTGGCCCGGAGGAACATTAGAGGTTTTAATAAAAGGAACTTAAAATTACCAATGTTGGCCCTGGTTCCAAGGAAGCCTGGCTCGGTATCCGTAACAACACAGGATGAACCTAATTCCTCGCCTCTCGGATTCTTGCTCTTCAGTTTAAAATGCCATTTTATATGCAGCCTGATGATGTCTCCTCAAAAATAAACTCATAAAAATTGCTTTAAAATTTCTGATCAATGTTTTCAGTTCACATAGATATTAAACTGATTTTCCTAAAGACTGAAAACCTAATTATGCATTCAATTAGAGTTTCTTAATAAAGATTAAAACTCTGAAGTCTATTACAAGCCCATATTTGATTCAACTGCCATTTTATCCATGCTATGGAAGTGTAAGTGGTAACAATGAATATAAATTATAATACATGCCATAGAAAGAATGCTATTTGTCCAAGTAGGTTACTATAAAGAATTAAATTTTGCTATCAGTCCCACGATCTAGCTAAAATTGGTATTCTTTATTTGGTCTTTCAATGTAGTCCAATTTCCTACTTTGAAAAACAAATTCTAGGGAATAAAGAAAAGAGATTAATTTATCATTAAGACTCTGCTTAATTGAAGTCAATTCCGAACAAACTTGAATTCAATTTCTGCTCATTAAATTGAATGTGCTCTGCGTTCCTCTCTGCATTGCTTTGAGCAAGCAGCTGAGAACAAGGGACTAACATCAAAATTATTAAATTGAGGAGATTTTATTTGGTCTTCACATGCCAGAGCCGCTTTGATGAGGAGCTGTTTTGGCACTGAAAGGAAAGAAGAGCAGCTGGAGGAAAAATCAAATGAAACTAAGCCTTGGAAAATTGAAGAAAACGCAAGCTTAATAATATTTAATAATTAAATTTCCACAAACAATAGCGGCAAATGAAGTAATCTGCAAAGTCTGTGAACTCATTTGCATAATTGATGCCGGGCCCCTGTAAATGAATAATGAAGATAATAAAAGATGTTGCTAAAAATGGGCACAATAACAGCAAATTTCATCAAGCCGCGCTCTCTGATTAATCTGCTCTTGCAAATCAGCAGCGAGCGGGGAGCGCGTGATTACCCGCGCCGAGGCCGGCAGCCGGCGGCGGCGCTGCCCTTTCTCTGCGGGTCTCCGGGCGCGTCCCGCCCGCTCCCCGCGCCGCCCGCGCGCCTCTCGCCGCAGCTGCCGCTGGGGCTGCCGCGGGCGCCGCTCCGCCGGAGCGCGCCTCCACCCGCCGCCCGCGCCCGCGCCCGCGCCCGCAGCGGCGCCCTGGCCCCGGAGCGGTTTAGCCGCTGCCTTGTGTCGCGGCCGCGTGCCGGGCGATGGCCGCCCAGACCCCCGGGCCCCCGATCGCCAACCCCGGGGCTTCCCACCCGCGCCTCGGTGGAGGGAGGCCCCGGAGGCGCCATCGCTCGCGCCTGCCACCTGGACGCTGAATAAACTGGGAAACAATTAGGTGGCCGGGTGGGGAAGGTGCTGGGTGACTGCACTGCCAGGCGGCCGCGTGCCCCCGCGCTCGCAGGGGTTGGCGATTGGGGGCGGTTGGGAGTTTGTGTTTAGGGAGGAAGGTGAGAGGTGCGGGATCTGCCCACGAGGGCAGTCGCTCTCGGAGAATCGGGGAATGGCTCTGTCAGGTCGCAGGCCCTCCTCCGCCTTTATCCCCATCACGCACAAAAAGAATGGGCCTTGCAAGGGATGTTTATTATGCACTTTTAAGTGACTATTCAGAAAAGAGCAGGAGGCACAATAAAAAAGGCTTCTGCCCCACCAATTCCCTTCCCTTGAAGAAAAAAAGAAAGAGAAAGCCACCCACAAAGGTAAGCTGGGCGTTTCAGATTTTGTGGGGTTTGTTTTATTTATTTATTTTTAAAGAATCAAAATAACATTTTCCAGTTTGCGACTTACATTTTCCAGTGCGTTTTTCTCAGGGCCAACCCAAGGGGCTAATAAAATCTGAGAGCTGTTAGTCCCAAATACATTTTGTGCGGGAGTTTGTGAAAGCAACTTTTGCCGAGTGCAAACGTCAGACGATGAAACTGAAAATACTTCCAAAGTCACAGGCTCCTCTTCCAATCACAGCGCCTCACATTTCCAGCGCTCCGGGATAAAGTTGTCTGAGGAAAATAAAAGTGTTGATAAACCATGGTTCCAGATTGTTACTTATTTTACAACCCTCGGTTTGCAATCGATCATAGCTTGGGCCTAACAGGACTGACTCCGGCTTTTCATTTGTTTATAGTGTGTGCAATGTTTTATGCCTCAAATGTACCATGTCAGCTATGTAAAATAATGCAGTATTTTTGTTCGCATCCTGGATCCACTTGCACAATGGTTTTTGTTTAAAATGAAGGCGGTGATTATTTTCCATTATTACAGAATGGAAACTTCAATCCTAAACATCTGAGAAACATAGCTGAAGAATCCACTGCTGAGCTGGGAAAAGCCGAGAGAAGCTCGTGTTTACTTGATTCACAAAGTGCAATTGACTCTATTTAACTTGACCAATTTAAATCCAATCTAATAAACCACAAGCTTGCTTCCGCTTCAAAAAAGCCAACAGGCCACCCTGAGGCCCAAAGTCCATCTTTCTCAGTGCCATGATGTCAAATAAACCTGTGATGCCCTTGTTTTTGCTAAGCGAATGGCTCATATGTTGCAGTTAATTTTTCTGGTGCAACAATCACATTGTAATTTTCCATGACTCTTCTCTATAAGTACAAAGAAACCCTGGAATCATGGAATTTTGAGCCAGAGGGAACCTCTTCACTTTACATGGGAAGAAATGGAGAGAGAGAGAGAGAGAGAGAAGTGAAGTGCCTGCCCGCTCTCACACGGGCTCTACCACCTGCCTCCAGGTCTCCCTGCTCCCTAACAGGTGGTTTCTCCCCGCCTCAGCCTCTTGAAGAGATGGAAGGAAGGAAACTGGGAAAGGACTCAAGAGCAACACTTCAGGAAGCACAGGGAAACCAAGGGAATGCAGTAACAGAATTAACAGGATGTGGGAAAGGTTCGAGTGATAAATCCAGGTGGTTAAATGAGTTTCAAAGCATCAGGAGCCAGGTCATAATAGAGAAACCATGGGAAGGGCAGAGGCTGTGTAAAAAATAATCTGGGAAAATAAGGACTGTGGAGAGAAAGCAAGTGCTTTTTAAGATGTGTCAAACATAGGGTCAAAGTTAGATCAAGAGGAGAAAAGGAAAAGTCTGGGGGAATGTCTGTAGACAGGCAGAAAGAGAGTGAGTGAACTGATGTCCTAAAGATTCCTTCTGTACGGCGCTGCTGAGGAAGAGAGCGTGACGAACGGCCTCACGAGAATGAGCTAGTGCAGGGCTGAGAGACACAGGAATGGCCGCAGTCATGGTGAATTGTGGGCAGTGGTGAGAGTTTCGTCCCAGGAGCATGATGAGAATGCCAGCGCCTGACCCACATCAAGGCTGCTTCATCTGCGGCGAGATGGAGAGTGTCCTAAACCAGTCAGCCCTCAGATGAAGAAGCGTGCTGTCCAATGTCACCCAGCAGCTGGGTGCCGGGCAGAGGAAATTCAGGCTTTCTCTTCTGCATCTGCGCATGCCCACGGTCACGCCCCTTTCCTGGTTCGGATTTGGAATTGTTCAGTTAGGAAGGGCTCTGAAGAGATGCCTTTCGATTTCCTTGGGGTTAGCTGGTTCAAATCTCCCTCATGTATAAACTAAGAATGTGTTCTACAGTGTTCCTCAGCTTATTAGTTTTCCTGGAAGAAATGGATGATTCTCATTGTCACTTGAAAACATCCACATTTTGGAAATGCCTGGGCTAGCGAAGTGTAATAATAAAATTCATTTCAATTGGTCAGTCTCGAAGGTTAATTGAGCAGTTATACTTTATTCTAATTATTTCTGGCTAACATTGAAGTGATGGCAAAGTAGTAAGGATTTTTGGCCAACTCCTTGGGTTTTTTCCTCTCTGTCATTTTTTTTTTAATGACTGCCCAGTGTGGGCAAGGACCTACTACTCAAAGCAGATGACCTTGGCAGCAGTGTTTCTGAAATCCTGGGTTCTGGAATACTTTAAGGCTCTTCGTCACCTTTAAGAGCTGTCCTTATGAGGCCAGGAATCTAGCTGAGTTTGGTGTGGGTAGACAATGGGATGCTCTGGTTGCCTGGAAACCCTGGTGAACCGATGGTGACCACATCCGTTATAAACCGGGGCCTGATTCTTAGCAACTTCAAAGGTTTCTGGAGCAGCGCTAGCTGCCAGCTCTTCTTACATAGAGCAACAGGCAGAAATCGTTGGTAATCTGGCAAATGACAAACTTCATACCCTAGGATGTTTACTCTCTCTCTGTATACTGAATTTGCACACAATCTAGAGTTATTATTTCCTCACAAATAATTTCTATCTAATGAATAATGATGTCTTTGTTGTGAGCCGATAGTCCAAGTAGCAAGTTTCCCCTAGTCAGAATTATCTACAACTATTATGTGTTTTCGCACTCAAACTTTTCTTACAGAAACAAAAACTTTTATTAAAATAGTTAGAAATTATTTTAAAATTAGCATATAAAATAAAGAATGCAATATTCAAGCAGGATACCCATAAGCCATTTCAAGCATAATTTATGGTTACATAGACAATTTAAACAATTAGGGATTTTCCCCCACTGACTATTAATTCTTTTTAACGATGGTTTTTCTCTCTCTGTTCCTCCCAAGCTAAAAAGCACAAGTTATTTATCTTTCCTGGTTTGTTCACTATTTTCCAGGATTTATTTACAACCCCCTAAAAACGAGTGTTGAAACTCTTGCATCTGCCCTATTTCTGTTTACTCTACCCTTATCTCCAGCTGGAAAACCATAAGGAAAAGGAATTTAAAGAAAATTCTAAATTCATTACTCCCACTCTCTTCCTATCTCACCATATTTGACTCATCAATATGTGCTGAGCACTCACCATGAGACAGACATTGAGAAACAGGTGAACAAGTGTGGTCCCAGCCCTCCAGGAGCTTACAACCACCTGCGGACGGGGTACCTACATGTACCCAGGAAATGATTATGTAACGGAGTAAGTGCTATAAGCACTTAGCCCAGCCTCAAAACTTTGGCGTATTTTCATAAGAAGATGAAAAAAATGAGGAAAATTGTATGATAGCTTATTTCATGTTAACTTCATGATGGTCTTTTTCTAGCCATAGACATCATCTTAAAATCCCTCCTCTCCAACAGGTACTAGAAATATTCACTTATTTACAGTTCTAGTAAGCTGTTAGCAACCACAGATTTAATTCTAAATTATCCCATAGAATGTACCTTTTCACAGAGCTTGAGTTTTAAAAGAAATCCCAGACATACTTGGTTCAGCATTGACCTGTGTGACATTGACTTGTTAGAGTGCCATATATATGAGATCTATTTTAAATATGTGTATATGTACATCTAATATATACATGTTTCACTCTGGATATTAAATTACAAGTTTGGTAGTGACTTGAGGTGCCATTAAGAAATTGGTCTAAGAGACCAAATATAAAAGTTGTCAGGCAATTAGGAATTGGTGAAAGTTCTTGGACTTGACAAATGGTATTATAAACAAATATTGCTGTAGCTTGAGAAGGATGGACCAACAAATGTATGACCACTAGCCAGAAGAAACCATGGCTGGAGTGTGTCCTGACTTCAGGGGATGTAAAGAGAATGTTGGAGTGACTGCAAAGTAGAATATAGGAATCTGCATCCTCGGAGACTGTACTCTGACAAACCCGTTATATCAGATGCTATTGCTTTCACCTGTTTGTAGCAGGCCCCTACTCTACTGGCATCACTAGGTAGGAATTTGTTTTTCACTTGGCAGGAGGCAGGCCAGGGCTAGTTCAGAGGCCCTACAATTCCAGGAGAAATTCCGTTTCCTCTCTCTTCCTCTCTATCATCCTTAGCATCTACTTTTTCCCCTTATGGTGACAAGATGACCCCTTTACCTCCAGGCATCGTGTCTGTATTCCATGTAGAAAAGAAGAAGGGCAAAAGGTATGTACCAGCTGAGTTCATCCCTTTTTATAGGAAAACAATAGCTTGCTAAGGCCTCACCAAGTAGAGTCTACTTCTGTACCACTGGATAGAACTAGGTCACATGGCCTGAGCGTTAAAGAATCTGGGGAGGTGAGAAATGCTAACAGGGCACATAGCCCAGGCCCAAACAAATCCAAGGTATCTTGTTAAGGCAAAAAGGAGAAATGGACATTGGGTATAGAACCAGTGCTGATTCCGTCAGTGTTTCCAATTTTAAAAGATGTCACCTCACACACTAATGCATTCAACTACCCTGTGTTTATATACAATGTAGTACTGTTGTAAAATAAACATATCAAATCATTTTTGTATCTCAGTACTCTTTCCTTCAGTAAAGAGGTAGCATTTTTGTAAATGTATCCAGTAACTTGACCAATTTTAGAGGCTGTCAAGAAACCCAATATTACTTTATAGTAATAAAGATATATACTCTACTTCATTCTGGATCTTAATCTCACACTATGCTATATTTTTAAAGGGTTTTGTGTCCTTACTGCTGGAAGTTTATTTGCTGGCTTATAATAAATGTATGGCTAACATTCAGTAATGCTTTAATACACAAGACCGGTGTGAAGGTATTTGAGCAACCCCGGGAATTGTGGTGATCTGGGTGGTGAAAGAAGAGGAAGCGTTGGATGGGCAATATATTTCAATGATTATATATGCCTATCATTAAAAAGCATTTATTAAGCACCTATATGCACGTATCACTGTTGTCAAAGAGATGTTTTACTCCAATCAACTCTGGATTTTATTAATCCTTTTACCTATTTTTTATAAACTGTTTTTCCACTCAGCAATATCTCAACCAGAGTAGACAGAGAGGGGCAGATAAAGCTCAAACCAGTCAACCTAATCGTGTTATTAGCTATAGTTAAAAGTTTGCTGAGGGAGGAGATTGAAACTATTTGTAAAATGAGGTTTGTGTTTGTGGATTTCAGTTATCCCTGCTATTCCTAGTACCTCTTTCCATGGACAATCAAGAGTTGGATGAATCTAAAACTATTGTTTCGGAGCAAGATTTGGTTGCTATCTGTCAGAGATCATAATTAGCATCAAAAAGCATTTATTCCACCCTACTTTTTTAAAGGCATTGTACTAGCTGGTAGCAGTGGGGACATTTGGAAAAAGTAATGTTATAGCAGCCCTCTTACCACATTGCACATTTTCTTAGAAAAAGCAAGTAATGAGTACATAAGTGTATATAACCTTCAACATGATGGGAGGAAAGAATACAAGTGTTTTTTTCCTCAATAGTTAGATTCGCATTCTTAGGAGTCTGGCTGAAGGCATCAGCCAACGTGTATCATCTCATCCAGTTATCCCAAAAGGGAAGTTTGAATGTTCAATTTACACAAACGTGTTGACTTAGGTTTTGCAAATGAAGGACTTTTTTCTAAACATCTCATGCTATGCTCCACGTTAGACTCTGCTCTCAGTCTTCCTTTGATTGCAGCACAAAGAAACTTGACTCTGCCAATTACTGTGTGACCTTAGGCAAGTCACTCACTTAACCTTTCTGGGCTTCCTTTCCTTCTTCTTAAAGTGGGGGCAGCAAAATCTACTCTGCAGGGTTGTTAATGGGGGAAAAAAGGTGACTTTGAATGTAAAATCACTTTGTAAAATGTGACGTGCTATACTAATATATTATTGTTTCATTAATCCAAACATCCTATTGAGGAGTTTTTATCTGATGCTGAGCATCTGAATGACTTTGAGCTTGGAATAACTTTGATGAAGTACCACACGGTCTCAAAGACCAGCCATCGTTGGCCAGCTAATTGGAAAATCTCTGGTTTTGAAGTGAGTTCCAAGGTGGTATATAATGCACTTCTGCTTCAGCCATCCTATTTAGGATAAGCTACTTCGGAAATAGTCACAAATCATTTTCCAGGTTTGCTATAGTAAATGGGTACTCAGCCTTCAGAAAGAACAGAAAGGTAGGTAGCCATTGTCATCATTCATTCATTTAGTGTAGAGTGTTATTAATACCTATGAAATGTATCAGAAGAAACCTTTACATTTTTATATGCATTTGCCCTTTTAAGGAATGAAGTAACTAAAATTAAGATGACATTGCTGAAATGGGTGTGTCAGTCTTCACAAATTGCTACCACCCAAAATCTGGTTATCGTTTTTCCTTTATTTATTTAATTTTTATTTTGTTTTATTGAGGTAACATTGGTTTATAACATTATATAAATTTCAAGTGTACATGATTATATTTTGACTTCTGTATAGACTACATCATGTTCACCACCAAAAGTCTAGTTGCCATCCATCACCATACATATGTGCCCTTTACCCCTTTCGCCCTCCCCCTGCCCCCTTCCTCTCTGGTAACCACCAATTTGTTCTCTCTATCTATGTGTTTGTTGGTTTGTTGGTTTATCTTCTACAATGTATGAAATCATATGGTAATAGTCTCTCTCCCTCTGACTTATTTCACTTAGCATAATACCCTCAAAGTCATCCCTGTTGTCGCAAATGGCAGTATTTTTTTCTTTTTTACCACATTTTCCTTATCCATTCATCAGTTGAGGGGCATTAAGTTTGCTTCCATATCTTGGCTATTGTGATTAATACTGCAGTGAACACAGGGGTGTATGTATCTTTTCAAATTAGTGTCTTCTCCTTTATAACCTAAGTTTCAGCTTTGCTCTACTCAAAGGACTCCCAATGATGAAAATATCATGTAATTCTAGCCTAATATTTTGCATTAAATCATCCATGTGCTTTCAACTCTTTGGTTGTTGATATCACTATAAATCTTCTCTTGGGTACCCAGTTTTTATATCAAGCATTTATAAACTTCATAAACATTTGGTGGAAGATGTTTTTTATTATTATTTCTTTCTAAATTTCTGCTCAATTCTTCTGGTGATTTGTAGCAGTAGGTGCATGCTAAATAACATCAGGTATTCCACCAAAGTATTTTTTAATGCACGCTTCCAAAAATTTGTGGGTAATTTCTAAAATAGGTTCTGAGCAGAGGGTCTTAGAGAGGAAAAAGGATCATTAGTATCCCTCCTCGGCTAATTTAGCCAAGTACATTCCACAACTCTCCCAATCAGTATATTAAGCAGATGTGGTCTTTGTCCACCTAGTAAGTTGCGTTAGACCTTTCAACACTCTGCAGCCTTTTTATCACTCAGCTGCCAAGTTCCCTAGGGTAATCATAGACAGCTTGTCAATTTAATTGCAAAGAAACAGGCTTTCTTGTGACCATTCCAATTTTAGCTGCTACTTTAAATTGTACATGATAGTTCTTCCATGCTGTCTGCCCTTTAAACAGTGTGGATCTCTGCAAGCCTCTTAATGGTGATGGAAAAAGGAGGCAACGCTGAAAATCTGGCTTGCTGATAGAGACTGTAACATGCATTTTATTAAGTTGCTGCTTTAGGAGGGGAAGCTTTTCCTTAAGCCCAGTATGCTGCCATTACATCACCTAAATTATTTTTTTTCTTTTCAATCTTCCGCTTTCATGCACATTTTCCTCCTTTCTGGGTGATAGAGGATTCATAGGCCATCTGGATTCTGAAACATCTGGACACTGAATTTCTGCAGAGGAGAATCAGAGGGAAGAGACGATCAGTGGTACTGGGTGTCTCTGGAGAGATTTAAATCAACGAGGATATTTTGGTTGTCTCCCTTTTGGAAAGTTAACACAAAAAGTGAAAGGAAAAAACAGCACCTCATAGGAACCCAGTGTTTCAAGAATGCTAAGAGTATAAAAGACAGTCGGACTTTTAGATATAAATTTAGGTCACTAACTGAATACGTCTTTATATTAGATATCATTTCTAGAATTTTCCCCTATTTTTTCATTGTCATGCATTTTTGGATTTAATTTAGTTAGATATACTTTTAACAGTGCTGAATTTAGATACTGCATCATTTTTGCATAACATATTTTACCTTAAGCTATGTATAATTCAATTCAATAAAATTTTATTAATCAAGTGTTATAAGTAAAGTCATAAAACTAACATATCAAAAATGTTCATGTGTTCAGCTTGATCGAAAGACTAGATATGGGCACCACTTAGGTAAATCAAGAAGAGTTACTTTTCTAAGATATGCAGAAGAATATTAGTACAAAGAGATAAATAATGTTTCCCAGGTCAGGTGGAGTTGTAAGCTTGTGAATCCAAAAATCAAGAACCAAAATGATAACATATGTGTGTGAGAAGGTCTTGTTAGACCTTTGGAAAGTCCAGCTGCCCTCCTACAAGCTCAGCTTTATGTGTATATGCATGTGTGTGTGTGTATGTGTGTAAGTGTGTGTGTGTGTAAGGATTTGCACAGAGACAGAGGCTGCCCTGGAATGTGCAGGGGACCACCTCCTCTGGACCATGAATCTCGGTGATGTACCATATATAATCTGACTACTCAGTTCAGTACAGTCTAGTCAGGCGTGAGCACAGGGCTTATTTATCACTCTCAGCTGTTCCCCGCTAACACAGCCTGGTCCACCATCTTGACTGAACTTGAGCTGCAGAACCAGAACAAGGATGAGTCACCCAGATTGCTCAGCAAATCACCGCAGCAGGCCCTTAGACCAGTCTTAAAGCTCCTCCTTTGTGTAAAGGCACTAGACTTAGCTGTCAGGCGAGTGTGAAGAGCTGTTCAGATTCTATGATTTATTTCCCATGCTATTGCAAAATTTTATTTTTTCTTTCACTATATTTTCTCTGGTAAATATTTGGGCTGTTAATAGATTTTCTTTCCTGAAAAAATTGAAATTGCTACTCTTTAAGTACTCTTTAAGAGTACTCTTTAAGAGATATGAGTTTGAAGCAACCAGTCTTATGCGCCTTCACGCAGTTTTCTTGAAGTACGTGATGCTCTGCCGTATATAAAAACAGTTAAGACTGTCAGTTTCTTGATTTCTAGGAAACCAGAACTGCTCAAAAGAAAAAGAATCCAACAGTAAAATTTTAGTAACTACTTTTTTTTAAAATCAGGCATACCTACATTTAAAAATAATAACTCTCTGAAATAAGGGACTACAGACATATTCTCTGATTTCTGCCAGTTCATTGTGTCCTTAATTTCCTCTAACTGCGTCTTCAGCGAGCCCCACAATGAAGTACAATATTAGATGTTCACTTGTATGATATCAACCTTGTATGAAGAGAATGAATAAAAAATGAAGTTCTTAGCTGTGATCTATTTCAGATTAGCCATTTTCATTTATAAAACTGTTTATTTTACTTTGTCAGCTTGAAGGTCAATCTAACTTCAAATTGCATATTGCAGAATTTCAACAAAGATATGAGGCCCATCGCTGCTCCCTTTAAGACTAAAGGTGAAAAGCTGAGTCTTAACCGGGATATTGGGTAGAGCTTTATGAAATGGACCAGATCACATTGATATAAGACTTGCAAAGACACTTCACTTTGAAGTCAAAACATCAGCGCCTGGACAGGGTGGCAGGTGGCATCAGTATTAGCAAGTATTAATTGTGGGCATTAACCCAGGACAAGAAAACACTTGTCACACACTAAGGAAAGAATGAACAATAGCCATCATATCAGCTACCGTTTATTGAACACTTACTGTATATCAGGCATCATTCTATGCATTTTAGATTATCTCATGATGTCTCCACAATAACTCTTTGAAGTAGGTACTATTGCTATCACATTTTACAGATGAAAAAGCTGAGGGACAAGGAAGTTAAGACTCTTGGCCAAGATCACACAGCAAGTACATGAGGGAGCAAGGTTTCAAACCCAGGCAGAAAGACTCCAAAACTCATATTCTAAATGACAAGGTATGTGAATATGCAATGTAGAGGACACTACAAAGACTATAACTCAATGTGCTCAGATATTGACCTGTAATTAAAAAAAAAACCTAGCACCTCCTACAGACTCCGATAGCACTCTTAGATCATCACATCTTCCAATAATTACATATTTCACACACCCCGACTTGGTGGTAAACTTCACGTGGACAGAGACCATGTCTGTTTTGTTCACGACTGTAATGTTGGTGCCTAGCACATTACCTGTCACATTGTAGCCATTTAATCAATATTTATTGACTAAATATTCAATAAATAGATTTCTTGAATATTTACTGAAATGTGATTTCTTGTGAGGCACTGTCCATTCCTCAGGATGGTTTTAAATAAGGCCACAGAGTTTAGCAAAAAGAATGTTGCATTTGGACATAAAACTTAAGTTCTATCCTAACACTGCAACATCTCAGTTCTGAACAACAACATCCTTGGACAAGCCACTAAACCTCTGGAGTCTCGATTTTATCATCTGATCAGCAAATACAATAAAGATATGTTTCCTAAGAAAGTTTTGGGTGCTACGCAAATCCTCATTATTATAACTATGGGTTCTTCTATTTGATGACGAAATATCTAAAAAGGTAGATCCAAATAAGGAAACCAAATCCTTTTCATGGAATCCAGAGACAGGAACACAGACCAGGAAGACACAAATGCTAAATGCTCATTTCACTGAAAAGAGCTTATGTCCTCAAACTTGCCTGAATAGGCCTGGTTGCTTTTCTTGTTACATATCCCATCTTAGTACTTGTACTGAAGGAAACAGCAGTGCAGGTATGCCTCTGAGATTAAAGCATTTCTCAACTGATTCAGGTCAGCAAGCCTTCTACCCTTTAAGATAGGCTGACTATTTAAACATTTTAAAATGCACCCCAAATTCTTTGTCCAGAGTTTAACCCCCAAAGGCGTCTTCAAGCTTTTACTCAAGTCGACCTTCTCAACATTTCAGCCATGTTTCCTGAAGACACTCCCTCCTTTAGGGTGGCTTATTTGAGAAGCAGTCTTTTGTCTCCAGTAAGGAAAATAGTTTTGCTTTTTGGTTATATATTTTCTTTTTCTGAAAGGACCAAGCTCAGAAACTACTGTGAGATAAAATCATAGATGTACTATTTCATACGGAGGGAGCCCAGATTTATTTTTTCTTTGATGGGAATTTTAGCAATGCCCCCAAAATATATAGCTTTCCTAAATCAGTCAGTTACAAAAACGAAGTATGTCTGTATTTGGCAAGTGAATTTAAAAATGGATTCTCATATTGTAATAATTCCTTTTATAAGTGGAGTTGCTTATTATAAAATTTTACCATTTTGACATTATCTTACACCAATTAGAAGTCCATTCAACCTCAGCTGAAACCCACAACTTTTAAAATACTCTTTAAAACCAATTTCCATTGTAACAAAAACGATGAATAATTTTTTGTTATTAAGTATAATAATAGCTGACATATATTTTATGATCAAAAACATTGCTAATATAAAAACGGATTTTAAAATTGCAAATAAACCTTTAAAAAGTGACTTATCCAGGGGTTCTAAACTTGTGGTCCATAAATAGAATTAAGAAAGTCTTTGAATATGCATAAAAACAAAAATTATACTTTTATTTTCATAACGTCTAATTAAAATCTTGCATTTCCTTCCATTATGAATGTCAGGAACCAATCACAATAGTATTAGCAGTTACCTGTGATTTTGTCATTAACAAAAATCACAAACATTTTCAAATTATATTCAGTTACTGCAAATATTTCAAAATATCTTTTTTACCCATCACTCCATCCAAATTGTGGTAGTTCTTAGACAAACTACTAGAGCATATTGTTTAATGTGTTAATAAAGAAACTCACATTTCTTGATCACAATGTTTCAAAATTTTGCTAACTGCCCTTCCATACAATTGGTTTCCTTTGAAACCCTATGTAATTTACCTTATGCATTTAAAAACCTTACACTCACACCCTAATCCTTGGAACCTGTGAATGTTACCTTAAATGGCAAAAGGTCTTTACAGATGTGATTAAGTTAATGATCTTGAGGTGGACAGATTATCCTGGATTATCCCAGTGGGTGCTAAATGTTATTACAAGTGTCCCTGTGTGAGGGAGGTAGAGGGAGATTTGACGACAGAAGAGAAGACGCCCACATGACAACAGAAGCACAGATTGGAGAGGTGACCTTGAAGATGGAGGAAGTGGCCACAGAAAATGAAACAGGCAAGAAATAGATAGTCCTTTGGAGTCTGCAGAGAGTGGATGGCCTGCCAATACCTAGTTTTGGCCCAGGGCAACCAATTTTGGACTTCTTGATCCCAGAACTGTAAGATCATAAATTTGTGTTGGTTTAAGCCACAAAATAAATAAATACATAAATAAAAATAATAAATAAAAACTTTATTCTGAGAGGGAGTCCACAGGCTTTACCAAACTATGAAAGGGGTCCTTGACACCAAAAAGCATTATGAATATCTATCTAAAAACCATATTAAACAGTTTAGAGTATGCTATGGACTGAATTGTGTCCCCTCAAAATTCGTATGCAGAAACCCTACCCCCCAATGTGACTATATTTGGAGATGGGGCCTTTATGGAAGTATTTAAGGCTAAACGATGCCATAAGGGTGGAGCTCCGACCCAATCGTGTTAGTGTCCTTATAAGAAGAGACACCAGAGCTGGCCCACTCTCTCTCCTAGTGAGGACACAGCAAGATGGCGGCCATCTGCAAACCGGGAAGAGAGCTCTCACCAGAACCT